GTGCTGCCCTCTTTCCTATGGGCCTTGCCCATGAAATCATTCTCAGAGCGAGATCTTGAGCCATGACAGTTTCAGGGAGACAACTGCTGTGCTTTTTTTTTTAGCATGCTCACTCACTTCCTGAAAAGTTGCCTTTCAAACTGCTGCATCTCATTTGGGAAAAGGGTGGGGAATGAACTCTTAAAAAGAGTGTACTGAGATCTAATCTCATTTGGGGGGTTTTTTCCTCACTTTTATTTCTAGGGGGTTGGCTGTAGTTTAGACAAAGCATTTTGTGGGTGGGATTTTTTTTTTTAATTGCCCTGAGGCTCTTGGCAAGCTTCTAAATCCTGGAGTCATTCCAGCAAAGGACTATGGAGATTTCAAGGTTATTCCTCTGTATTTGTGATTCTATTAGTTTGTGTGCATATGAGGCCTTCTCTTTTAGCCTTTGAGACAGCTGTCCTTTTTTTTCTTTGATAAACATGGAAAAAATTAGTCTTGCCTCAAGAAGATTACTCAACTACCATAATACAATATAGAAAAGATGTGATTGGCTGATTGTTTAACAATTCATAGGACTTTTAGAATCTGTGCAACATATTAACCCATTTCTTTCATTTATTTTGTTACCTCTTGTAACAGGAATTAAAACTTGACCAGAAGACACCTCTCCGGGTTCTTCACAGAAGACCTCTAGCTGTAAGGTGCCGGATCATTCACACCATGAAATCTGAGTACATAGACGAGCATCATTTTCGCCTGCATCTGAAGACTCAAGCAGGAACGTATCCTTAGATGCTGTTACACAACCCATTTACGAAACAGCTTGCTGATTAGGGTAATTCGGGTAATGGAAAGTTTCCTGCTTGTATTGCTGCAGTGTTTCTAAATCCCTGCCCTTCCCCAGTCATATGTCATATGCTGCATAACCTTTGGGTTTTGTGTCAGAATTTCACATTCAGGCTTTCATTCAAAAATGCTACCCCGTGTGTATTTTTGTGATGACCACTGTGATAGTTTTAAAGTATATGATAGCTATTAAAATATACTGGTTAAAGATAAACTTAAACTTTTTCTAATTTTATTGAAAACTTTTCACCTTAGGAAATAAGCTTTTCAGCACTATTTAATGCACAGCAATGCATACTGTAGATTGCTGCTACTTAGAAGTTAACAGTCCTGTCATAAAGTCACAACTCACTTTGGAATAAAGTGGAAAATACAGGTCGATGGTGCAGTTTCTGTCATTGGAGTCAGAAGCCAGGAATTATGAAGTCTTTTAAAGATGGGTGTGGGCTTAACAGGACGTTTACTGCAAATTGGCTTAGGAGTAGAAAAAGACACTATTTTTTGCTTTGTGTGTTTTTCACCATACTCTTTCTTTCTTTTTTTTTTTTTTTCCCTTTTGATTTCTTTGTGGTAAAATACACCTTTCCTTAGCCAGTATTCCTAGCTACATTAAAGAATTTGTGCATGGAGACTTTGGAAGAACAAAGCCCAATATTGGCTCCCTACTGAACAGAACGGCTGACATTCTGGAGTTGGATGTAGAAGTGAGTTTGCTATTCATCTTTCTTGGAAATGAGTAATGTAGTTGCATTTATGAGATGGTTTCAGTGGAACTGCTCTAACCAAATCAATGTTCCATACCACACTTAATAGAAAAATTGACATTAAGGCAAAATTCCTAGTTTGTACCATGCTGCCACATGTGACAGGCTTGAATTCATGTGAAGGAGGGATGGGAGGACATACAATGGATTGATGACAATTGTTATTAGCACCTACTGGAACAGAGCTTAGCAATGTTACGTGTACCACAGCATTTCTTTTCAAAACTGGGTCGGATAAAAAAAATAGGAGAGGCTTGACTTCCTCTTTCAGTGCTGGTTCAAACACAGCAAGAAATTCTATCTGTTCACTTGCTGGAGTCAGATGAAAAAAAACAGAATTTGTTTTGGTTAAAAGAATGTATGTAGAGATATGGATTTAATATTTAAACAAGTGGCTTGGCAAGGTTTATTTAAAACATGGATTTTCATTTCAAGTAGCCAATGAACAAGCATGCTTGTTCTCATGTGTTTCTGGAAAACTGCCTGTGTGTTACCTTTTGCAGAACAGCCTTGCAGGTTTTTTTGCATCTCTTTTGTAGGAGAATACAGAAAGAGCTTGCAGAGGGCACTTCAGTTACTTCTGAAACAGGAACACCTGACCTGGGGCTCGGGCTGATGAGCATCACTCTCATGTGGATAGGTGTCACTGCAGTTATTGGACGTAACTGTGAGAGATGTCTAGGGACTTTGAAAATAATTAGTCACCTTGCTAATAATGCATTTTAGCTCAGCCTGAGAGCCTAATCCTTTGATGCAGTTGTAGATGAGGCAAGGAGTAGGTATGATTAATGTAGGCAGTCTCGAAGCCAAGGTGCTGTGTTGTGATCCCTGCCTTGTGATTGCAAAGGGTGATACTATGGTGGCGTAGGGCGTGCTGCTTTTGGAAGAGGGTGAGCAACAAGTTCATGCCCAAAGGGAACTGGAGATGTGGCCTCAGGGAGCCAGGGAAGAAAGACATAATCCAAGTTCCAAGTTGTAGTAATTACATGTGCTTCTAATAAAATGTCAGGATGTTTTTGTCCCTCTTGATTCAACAGTCGGGATGACCGTTAATGATGTTGCCTAGATAATCTTGTGCATAATGCTTGACAGCTTCTTCTTTGAGTCTAGTTTTCCTTGCTCAGGAGGCCGATTTTGGGGACAGGTGGTGGTTTTCTACTCAAGCCTTGCTTGCACTGCTCAATACCTGAATATTTCTGTGATCTCCATCAGTTTATTTTCACATGGAATGGCCCAGCTGCAGGAGGGTAGAAGATGGAGATGGTTCATGCTTTTAAGTAACAGTTCTGGGCACTCTGTCACTGCAGCCCAACATCAAACGGTGCTGGGAAGTACTAGTACAAGGAGCTGTGTTTCTGCTTTATGAAGAAAGCCCAGCTCCCAGAGAGCTCTCTCCAGACACACATGGAGCCACAAAGATGAGGTGCCCGTTTCATGCTGCCATCTCCTGCTTGTCTTGTCCCGTGGCTCTTATCTTAGCATCTATTATTTACTCTGTTCCTTTCCACTATTATCCTACCGCTGACAAGCATTGAGCTCTAATACAGGGTCTCTTTATATATGTAAAATATCAAGTCTGATTATTTTGCCCTTTTTTTTTTCCCCCCCCTCTTCTCTTCTAGTCTGTTGATGTTGACTGGCCTCCAACCCTGGATAATTAACTTTGCAAGCTGGGACGAGGAAGAAGCAGGTCCTCTGTCAGCAGCTGGTTACTGAACGCTGCACAGTATTACAACTTGGTTGCAAAGTATTTCTGTTGAACATTTGGATCATGTTGATCTGGTAAAGAATGCTGTTACTTTGAATCAACTTTAAACACTCTGGAACAGGTAGTGTTCATTCAGTCTCTAGCCTGATTTTAATTTCTCCTGTGCATAAAAAGATTTTGGTAAGCTAGTGTATTGATAACAACTCTTTTTAAAAAGCAATTAAGAAAAAGATGTGTGCAAATGGCATACCGAGCAAGTACATCAAATGCGCTTTCTGCAGTAGTTTAAGATTAGTTTTAATTAAAAATAACCCTCCCTCAAGACAGACTTTTTAACATTTTTTTAGATAGGATGCTGCAGCTTTCTTGTCTGGATGCAGGTAGCACTGACTTACCTGCAGCCCAGTCCTAACTTCTTCGAGCACTGTTCAGGCAGGAAATCCTGAAAGTCAGGGGAACTCTGAAACCAGGAGGATAGTGCCTGGAACAAGGCAGCGCTCTGCTCTCTGCTTTTTGGTCAGCTTTAGAGATGGTCAAATTTGTCTCCCAGACTAAGTGCTTTTCAAAGGGAAAAACATTTTTCAGAGGAAAACTTTGCACTTCAAACCAAGTTTTTCTCATTTAAAAACATCATCAAGGCTTCCTAGAAATGACAGTTGAGGTACTTGAGGCCTCGGCAGCTCTCTGGCCTGATGACAGTCCTCGTCAGGCATAGGACTTCCCCAGTTGAGTCACCACATATAAAAAGATTGGGAACTCCTGGCAGCGCTGCATGATGGAAATCTAAAGAAAACATAGGAATACCAAGAACCTCAAAGTGCAGGCAAATATAAAATGTACCAAAGTATGTTGGTATTGAGAGAGCAAGACAGAGATAAAAAGCTGTGGTTTGTAACACAACACATTTTGTTCCAGTACCTGGCCTTGCCTGGATGCCTGGCAGAGTTGACCGTTGCCTAAGAACTTGCCTGGAATAGGCAAGACCTGAGTCTCTCTCTTTGCTTGTGTGATCTTAAATGTTTCTTACGAAGCACCACCTAAATCTTTAGGAAAAGCTGTTTTAATATCTTGTATCATGTTAATCCATTTGGAAGATGCTTCCGCTTACCTTAAGTACAGAAGAGACATCAACTATCAACAAGAAATTAAAGTTTGGAATTTAAGGGCTCTTCATTAATTAACATTTCAGAAATAAAGAGGGTAATATTTGCCAAGACAAACTCACTGATTACTGAGCTGTCTTACCTTCAATTCAGTGGTGCCAGGACCTCAGAACAGAATAGCTACGTGATAACTTTAGCTGAAGGCTCAAAAAGGCATTAATAAAAATGTTTTCATTTTCAAGGAGGTTCTAAAAACTGATCTTAAAAAATTAGTCTAAATATTCTACACTTGACCCATGATGGGCTGTCAAAACTCATCTCATAATTGATTTAACTTGTCCACCGTAACGCAACTATCGCAGTAGTTTGAAGCTCCTGTTTTTCTAACACAAAAATAATCGACACATGACTTGGAGAGCAGTATTTTTTTTGTTTTTAATCTTAAAAGCTGTTATGAGCAACAGATTCCAGTAGTTGTCTCAGATAATAATCTGTACCCAGAAAGGAAGTGTCATGAATGATGGAAAACTGAAGAAACTGAATTCAGAAAGCAAACAAAAGAATTTCAGTCTCATGTCTATGTGATTTCTTGAAACTAAAAGTGAGCTAAAATATGATTTATAAATTCCATAAACCTCGGGGTGGGGGGAAAGGTAAACAAGGCTGCGCTATGGAGAGGACAGACACAAGAAGAGCTGTTCCAAGGGGGAAAGCGCTAACGAGACAGGAGCAGAAAGGGCTCTGGCTCCTGCCATGGTCTAAGGACACTCGAGGTGCTCCCAGCCCCAGCTCTTTCTACACTGTGCTGTCCATTATCCTGGTGACAGCGGAGAGCGTGTTAAGAACCAAAGTGCAGCTAAACAAGGCTTTAAAGGTTACACTAAATGTGCCGAGTCTCATCTCATCTCCATACACACGAGAGAGTTCCACTAAAAATTCCCAAATTGCTTGTTTTTATGATAAACGTGAAGTATCCAAACAAGGGGGGGGGAAAAACCAAAACAAAAGCTGATGATGCAACTGTGTCAGTTATTGTTCAGTGATGGTGTGAAAATAAGAAAGTGAGAGATGTAATCTGTTTTCCTGAGTTTTGGTAAACACTTTGAACTATCAGAATCTGTAATCATCAATGCAGCAATAATATTAATGTTCTACTTTGGCCTTCAGCTTATTTTTTAAGAGTAAAATACCTTCTTGTGAGCACTCAAACAGGATGTTTTGTGAGAATAAGGTTTCATCTTGTTCACGAGGGATGTGTGAGAGGAGAAGATATTTTCTAGCATGTTATGTGAAAAATAGTAAAAATCAAGGTCCGGTATTTCTTCGCACCGTCCCTCTTTGCACAGGAAGGGCTCCAAGTAAAGCCAGTGTCTTTCTCCAAACACTTGGTCACCTGCCTCCCCTACTTTTATTTTTTTCATCAGCTTATCTGAACCTGGACAAAGCTGTATCAGTAGCACAGCTCTGGCTGAGCACGACAGCTCAGTCCTCTCTGCTCCTCTGACTAAAAAGTCAATCGCTCTGCCACAAACAATTGCTGAGCGCACACGAGCCCTTCCCGCACACGGCACTTGAGGTTGTGTAGTGGCCAACGGTAACCCTGAGCCAAAAATACTCTAACAAGCCCCAGGGTAAGTGACCCAGAACCTACCTTCTCCCATTCCTCTGGCCTTCCTGTGGCGAGGGATGTCATGAATCCGAGAAGGTTGCAGAAGCTGAGTACTTAGTATAACCAGTTTTTTTAATTACTGAACCAACTTGTTTACAAAGGAAAACAGAACTTTGAAAATATTTAATTATACAGTAAAAACAAGTTGTACTATAAAGAGCTTTCTATGAAGTGAGTAAAATGTTTACATTTAATATACTTAAAATTGAGAACTTCAAAAAAAAAAAAAAAGAACTGAATAAACAGCACATTTCAAGCTTTCTTTGCATTTCTTTGGTCTTTCTATTACGAGGAGCTACACAGAAGTGAGAAGAAACCGCTTTAAAATGTGGAGAGTCAATTTGTTGTGTACCTGGATTCGGGGAAGCAGTTTTCTAAACTTCATCTATTCCGCACAGTGTGGAAGGAGCATATTGTGTCAAACCCGTCTCATCGGCGTCATGCAGGACAGCAGCTCCTCGTGGCTTTGAACGCAGTGAATTCCTGCAGTTACGGAGTCACGGCTCTCCTAGAAACCACACAAGTTTGTGGAGTTCCTTTCTGCCTTGTCTACAACTATAGGTCTCAAGTGGCTTTTTTTTTGATTTGGGGTTGTGTTTTTTGTTATTTTCTATATCCAAGTGTGCTTTTTTTATTGCTTCTTCCCATGGTGCAGTTTTCTGTTGCCAAACAGTAACAATTAGTTTCTTAAGCCTTAATGTGCCATACAAAACAGCTGTATAACTTAAGAAATACTCATATATTTCTTGCTGTGTTGCTTCTTAAAAAAATAATAATAATAATAAAACAGCAAAGCCCTATAATGCAGAGTAGAGTCTCTTACCCAGCCAGTTAGATCCATGCAAGTTGTCACTGAACACCTTGCAACTCAGGCTAAGAAGGAAGACTGGGAAGCAAGCGGAAGGGAGGAAGTTCTGGTTTCTGATAGAGAGGAGTGTTTTTAATTAGTACTGGCTGAAATGGCCTTAAGTTGTTAATAGAGTGCATCTAGATGAGGCTGCGCTAAGACTGCCTCCGAGTTTGCCCCAAAAGCTTTTTTGGGAGGAGGGGGGAGGGACCTTTTAGGATCTTTTTTGGGGAGGCAGGATCTGAGCCTTTTTTTAAGCAGTCACTTGCATAGCAGGAAACTGCCGGGATACCTGAGGAAAGGATAGGGAGATGCTTCGGCTCAACATATTTCTGCGGTTTAAAAAATAACGTACGTATCAGAGCTACACACACAGACACAAACACTTCCGGAGAAATAACAGCGTGCTCCATTCCTAAAGCAACAGGGGTTTGTCATTTAAAATTGTGCACTTTGGATGAAGTGCAGAGAAGTCCTTACTTTCTGTTCATTCTTTTGTGCAGTGATTCATTTATAACAGAGCTGGACTATTTAAAAAAAAAATTCAAACCTTCCGGTCTTTTAAAAATATATCTAACAATGACATAGTCATTAAAAAAAATTTTAGAGTAAATTTGCCTTCAGAGCAAATGGAGTGTGGTGAAAATGTGAAAAAAAAAAAAAAAATCAATGCATGATCTTGTTTTAGGAGAGTATTTTATACGAAAGAGGGTAAGAAACCTAAACCTTTCAAGTAGGTTGAATAAAACTTTAACATTATTAGGTGAGTCTGAACTAGAGTGCCCACGTGCAGGTTTTCTTTCCTCATTTCTGTCCTATCAAAATTTAAACTTAATTTCCATAGCAAAAATGGTTCTTTCCCAAACAATTTTAACCCTGTGAAGTATTTGAAATTTTAACCCTTCTGAAGACACCAGCTTTTACAGTCCCCAAAGACTGTAAGGAAGATTAAAGTGTTAACAGTTCCCTTTTCCAACAGTGTAAAAATATGGTTTGGGGTACAGAACCCCAAACCCTACTCCGACCTCTTTTCTTTATGGGCACCAGTCTTTGGGCTGTAGTATAACCTGAAGTTATATCATGACACTTGCATAATTAACATTCTGAAAGAGAAAGCAGGGACTCCAGAAGGGTGAGTTAGTCCTCTTCACACAGCTAGCCACCCGAAAAGCGCTACGTACCCACTTCCAGCCCGGACACGGCTGCTCAGTGGTTATAGTTTTGTAGTATGTTATCAAATGGGAAAGACTGATAGAGCTCATCAGTGTGGACACCGTCAGGGTCATAGAACTGGTTATCTGCAATGCTATTCTGATGGTTTGGGAGTGGGTTGGTGGATAGTCTTGATTCACTTAAAACTTCTTGGTCTAGAAAACCATAAACTGCTGGATCAGCTAAATTAGACTGCGAATTAAGAGGCGTGCTGCCCGGGGCTGCTCCAGGCACCTGATGGAGCTGCTGCCTGTGGTTGCTTGTATTTAACACCGGATTATACTTCTCAAAGTTTATACTAGTGCAGTTCATGGCATCGGTCTCCATGTTCATGATGCTGGCTGTGGAGATGCTGACGGGGTGAGCCTGGTGCACGACGCTGTTACTGGAAACGTTCTGCATGTCTGCAGCTGACACTGTCACTGCTCCCATCCCGTTTGTGCTGCCGAAATTCCGGTAGAAACCCGAATCCTTCTCGTCAGGCCAGTTCAGAGGGTTGTTGCAGAAAGCTGGGAGAGAGCTGCTGCCCTGAGCAGCAGGCTGAGGGACGTCTGCTGCAAAGCTGTTCTGTGGGTGGGCACTGAGCAGGCTGCTGGCTGGAGAGGAGGAGTACAGCTGCTGCCAGCACGAGGAGAGCGTGTCTTGCTTCCCAGGCCCCACCTGCGCAGGCTGATGGGAAATCTGGTTGCAGGCAGAGTAGATCTGACTAGTGCTGGCCAGGGTTCCCAGCCCTGGCATCACCAGTGAGGATGGAAACAAGTTTGGTTCTATGGAAAGAAAAGATGTGACCGCATTTTAATGCTATTTTTAGGATTTTATTTTTTTTCAATTACAAGTAGTAAAAAAGCACCATTTTTGCTTTGCATCTTCGTAAGATTATACGTGCGTTTGCACTTTTGTACGGGCTTCTCTCCAGGGTGGACCCTAGATTTCTGGACAGCAGCAAGACAGCTGTCCACCTCACCCCTCTATGGTGAATGCTGAAGGTGACAGCTACATTTAAGTAAAGAACTGATGGTTTTAGTCTGTACAGTCAAAAGTTCCAGTATCTTCTAGGAAGAAACCTTTGAGAGAATATTAGAATTTCAAGCAAAGAGGAGGGAAGGCCAGGAACTGAGTGTCCATTTCAAGGGCTGAGTATCTGAACACAGAGGAAAATCAGTAGCCTAAATTAAGGCTGAAAGGTAGCAACGCTTCAAGATGAAGGTGTAGCCCTCTCCTGTGCAAAGGGGAAGCTGCAGCATGGCTGAGCCTTTGAGAAGAATCTGCAGGAGGAAAAGGAGGAAGGAAAGTAAAGAGACCAGTACTACTGCTGCCTTGGGAACTTCAGTGCCCCCCTGGAAAACACCCTTCCCTGCAGCCCTAAGGCACAATCTGTTTCAAACCACTGTTGGATTAGGATGTGCATGCAAAAACCTACCTTTCTTAATCAGCTTCCCTTCAGGAGTGACAGTGGGGAATGGAGCTACTTTGGGCCTCTCTGTCACATTTGATCCTGCGATGGAAGAACGCGTGAGTCTGTGCTGCATGTTTGCTTTATATAAAATAACTTAATCTAAATGTAAGTTCACTCAAACAAGAAAAAGACAAATATTTTCCTTACCACAGTCCTGTATGAGCTTTTGCCAAGCCAACGTTGATCTTTGCCTTTTTGCTTTGTTGCCATATGGATCTACAGAGAAAGGAGTGGAAGTGGAAAGTGTTACATTTCTCTTTGATACAATTAGTAAAGAACTTTCTCAAACTTATACTAGTGGCCCCTAATTGTAGCAAAATACATTTAAACTATTTTAGATGTGACAGCACTAACCAAGAGAGCATTACTAACTGTGATCCTTGATATCTTCATTGAAAGAGGGAACAAACTATTGTGATTTTTAAAAAACAAAAATCTACTCTGTAGAAGAAGCGTTGTACAATTTTTACTAATTAAGCTACTGTTTATTATCAACACGAGTTCTGCACTGATAATGGATTTTCAAGAAACTCAACTAATTGGAACCATACCCTTTTCATCGGGTAGGTATCTGAAATCCATAGGTTCACTGACTTCCTGGTCTGAAGGTCTTCGCAGTTGCATCTTCACTGTGACGGGCTCGGTGATGTCTTTGAGAAACGGTGGCGTTCTGAACACAATTGCAACTTGACGGTGAACGTCAGCTTGTGAGAAGGAACCTTTGGCCTCCCAGTTGTCCAAGACAAATCTGACTTCTATATCATCTAGTCCATGAGAAACAGAAGATGCTTGTTAAGCTGAAGAAGAAAACTGAAAACTTGTAGCACAAAGAAGAGGGAAGGGGAACAAAGAAAGGGGTCTGACTCAGAATTCAGCTGCAGAGTAAATGGCTCCACTTTAAAGGCACCAAGTATCTTTCAGAGATGCTGAGAGCCCTTGAACCTGAAAGCTCTTCTGCCCAGCTCTAAAACTGGACTGCTTACACGGGAGTGTGCAGAAGGGCTTCAGTTCCTCAGCTACAAAGTGGTAGTGTCAGCCATTTGGGACAGAGGGAAAGAAAAGACCTCAGCAAGATTACCTTTCTGAACTTTGTCACATAGTAGAAATATTTCATCTCCTCCTTTTACACTTCCACAGTTCTTGTTCACACGACAAATTCTCAGTTCTGCTGTGTTGGGAGCTCCTGGAAACAAACAGACAAATCTGATGATAGAGAACTGCTGCCACTTTGTCACTGTTGAAGATGAGGTGTTGAGAGTCAAGGCAACAGCTGGAGGAGTGTGACATCCCAAAGTCCACACTAAACAAGTCGCTCCATAGAGGAAACTCAGAGCAGGGCTTGATGTTCCATGATCCTACAGCTCTCGGCTGCTCATCTCCAAACACAAGATACTAGCACAGCTGTGCTACTTACTAAGTTCTACTGTAGTCTCAAAATACTTCCCCAAATGACGTTATTGTGCTCAGCACTGCTGCCCTTCAAGCTGTAGAATTCAAAGCAGTTCTTTGAGGGACTGATCACCTGTTACAGTCATGCTTCTCTGGAAAAAGCTGGGCTAGCAAGTCAAGAAAATTCCCCTCTGAGTATCAGACATGCTTGGCCATCAAACCTCTCCTCTGTGACTCTCTCTAGGTGTTTGAGAAGAGCTCGAGGAGTCTAACTTTCATACCTTTACTCAGGGCAGATTTCACCTAAAAATGCTCAAAATTCAACTCCAAGCTGTGGCTGTACGTGGACAGCACTCATGGTAGTTGCAGGTGGAGAGCTGCCCCGTGCATTGTATGTCACAATGAATTAACCACCACCCAAGGATGCACACTGCATCCAAACAACCCAATGGCTACAGGGGGTCTCGTGCAGGATGGAGACAAGCACCACCCGACGGTGTCTGGCCCCATCCAGCAGCAGCAGCTTTCCTGCAGGGTAAATATGGATAGGAGACTTCTGCAAGAAAGAACAGCCCCCTTGGAGCTTTATGGGCTGTTACAATTTATTTAAAAGGGCACTAATGTCACAATATAGTGATTCAGAAGTAACAAAGAAAAAAAAAAATGGAAGAATTTCAAGTTCAGCCCCTGTGCCCATGTGCTGTGTTGATGCTTCAAGTACATGAGCATATACCAGTTTTAAGACCCTGTCTTTATTTAACACATATGAAGTAACTGATGCTCATTTTTCTGCTACTTTCTGTGATCATATTAATAGTTTACTGCACCCTCTTCCACCCCTCCAGTCCCAACAGAATGAAACTACACTGTGCCTTGATGTTCTATCATGTTATGTCAAGACATCATAGAATGGTTTGGGTTGGAAAGGTCCTTAAAGATCATCCAGTTCCAACCCCCCTGCCATCAGCAGGGACACCTTCCACTAGACCAGGTTGCTCAAAGCCTCATCCAGCCTGGCCTTAAACACTTACAGGGAGGAGCAGCCACAGCTTCTCTGGGCAACCTGTTCCAGTGTCTCACCACCCTCACAGGGAAGAATTTCTTCCTAATATCTAAACTAAACCTGCCCTCTTCCAGTTTAGAGCCATTTCCCCTTGTTCTTTCATTAACTGCCCTTATGAAAAGTCCCTCCCCAGCTTTCCTGTAGCCCCTTCAGGTACTGGGAGGCCGCTATAAGATCTCCCTGGAGCCTTCTCTTCTCCAGGCTGAACAGCCCCAACTCTCTCAGCCTGTCCTCACAGCAGAGGTGCTCCAGCCCTTGGATCATCCTTGTGGCCTCCCCTGGACTCGCTCCAAATTTAAGACACCTGGGAGGATCTGGCTGGTGCCACTTTGTGACCCAGAAACCAATCCCTCCTGCCATCACAGAAACATGAGACTCCACCACCACAGGTTCCCCACAGGCACAGAGATGAAATACAAAGCCAAAGCTCATGGTATCATTCTCAAAAAAATCAAAACCAACAAAAACCAACAAAAAAAATCTACTTTAGACTCTCAGTTTGCCCAGTCCTTCTTGGTACTGTACAGGTACACAACACAGAGGCTACACCTAAAACAGAGCTCCTGGTAACCTCAGGCCAGACCCCATTATGTTGTTACTTATCCTGAGTCAATTCCTGCCCAGTCCTTCTTGGTACTGTACAGGTACACAACACAGAGGCTACACCTAAAACAGAGCTCCTGGTAACCTCAGGCCAGACCCCATTATGTTGTTACTTATCTGCAGCTATTACTATTATTGGAAGTGGGTGCCACAGCCTCATTTACTACATGACACATGTGACTTCATTTGCTGAATGAATCAGAAACTTTGAAGGGAGGGGAAACAAAACAAACCCAGAAACAGCACAGGATCATATGATTGACAGTGTCATTGTGCGTTTTTCACAGGAAGGGTAAATTAAGAATTGCAAGGAGAAGCCTAATTTTACCTTTGTTTCACTTCTGTATGCTTGAATGGCACTCGGGCTCCTTTTAACAGGTTTTTGGGAAGGTCTCCTAGCCTGGAGTTTGTTGGTTTTGTCTTTTAAGATAGAGTTTAGAAAGCAGGATGAAGGAAAGAACCACAAATGCCAGGAGACGTGGATGCACCTCTCTGCTGTCAGCCCCGGTGCCAGGCAGGAAGGTCGAGTTTGGCAGCAGCCTCAGAAGGAGACGTTGCTTGTGGCCACTGTCATGCTGTGCCACTTCCCATCTCTCTTTCCCCTGCATGCCCTCGACTCCTGCCCAGTTCCTGTTCCTCGCTCCCCAAAAGCACATCCCTGGTAATAAATCCCTAGAAGAATGAGCTTCTCACCAACAATCACGTCACTTTCAACAAGGGCAGAAGAACATGTTCTCCCTAACCTCATTTCTCAGAAACAGTAAGCTGCTTTCTCTGACCCTTCCCAAGAGTTTTCAGCATGGTAAGATATGCAACTTGGGAAATTTTGGTTCTGAACCAGTTAACATTATAAGCAACTGAAAACAGAAGTTGCCTGAAATAATGAATTTTATAAACTTGCAGTCTCTGCTAATGCAATTGCCTCTGTATTATGTTCACATTATTCTTATGTGTCTCTACTATCCAAAGCAGGTAGAGACTACAAAGTATTAGAAAGTGAAGAAAATACCAGATTTAAAGGGTTCAAGCTGATTTTCAGAAAAGCTCCTGATCTGGACAGATCTGCAAAAGCCTGATATCTAACAACCTCGGATTTCCAAGCCCACTGTACCGTACAATTTTATCTTTTACCTAAAGTTACAACGTGACCTTACCCAGTCCTGTATTACAGCAGCAGGTTTAAAAAGGTTAACATTTTAAAAAGAAATTCAGATCTGAAACTGCTGTTCCAGACAAGAGCAGCATAATTTTTATGATTTGTGGTTTCAGTTATGCACTGTCTTATTTACACTGCTGCTACGTTACGTGGAGGATTTTAGATACCTCTAGTGTATGAGAAGCTGCCCACATACACCCACACTGAAACACCAAGCTTCCCCCACCACACAGCTCTCTGTCATTTCAGCAGCTTAGCAAAGACTGACGTCAATCAACTTCGACAAGTAATCATGATTTGGCACATTTCTAAATGGCATCTGAGACACAGCTGTACGTCTTGTACATCAGTGTCACCTCAACCCTCATTTAGTACTACGAAGGTTCTCAATGACACCATGCACACACGTCCAGCTTCTAGATCATTCTAGAAGAGCCTCTAAAAATACCAAACTCACCTGAGTTCACAGTCAACATTTTCAGAGTGGTTATCCCCACATCCACACAATTCTAACATCACATTTCTAAAATGCAGACCTCATTTTATTTGGTAGTTTCTGTTAAAGTAATGACCTTAAATATGAAGCATGGAAATACTTCCATTGCAGAAACAAAAACCACTGCCAAAAAAGTTTAGCATTATTAAAAGCTCTTCTGCTACTCTTCTCCAGGAGAGAAATCCAGCACATGCTGAAGGCTAAATTCCTTAACTGCAGTGAGCTGCCCAAGCCATACAGAAGTCCGGTTTTGTGGAATGTGGAACACAGTGCCAAGAAGGGGTGTTTCACCTCCTCTGCGCCCTCCCAGAGCATGATCAAACATTTCCCCATTACCTACCTACACAGTGCAAATTGCAACTGTCCAGTATACAAAAGGGATATA